GTTCGAAACAAGTGTTCAAACTTTTTTAAACTAAAATCTAAAGAATTCTCGAAAACTTTAGATAAATGAAGAGCGTAGCTGATAAAGACAAATTGTATTGTATTTTTTGATGTGTGTTATGGGTGCATTATGCCGGTTTCACGCAAAATATGTGATACGTAAGTATTGAAAAAAATTTTTTTTTTTTGTGTTTGCAATGAATATAACCTATTTCCTTTTAAACTGGACACAGAAACGTAATCAAATAATGATGTGTATAGAATATTTTGTTATAGGTGCTTACTGTGGAATAAAAATTATTTTTATTTCAATTTGTCTTCAGTAACTTTAAAAATATTTAGAAGCAAACCTTTCTCGCAGTAACCGAGTTAATCGTTTTGTTAGCACGACGAGTGCGAAGAGGGAAATGGCAGGATGTTTACAGAGACCGATGTCATCGGGTGCACTTACGATCCGGTTGCATTCAAATGTTAGTCAATGACTAAATCATACTCAACTTTATTCGGGACACATAAGGTTTTCTTTGCAGCAACAATTGTCTGCTTCTAATGAAGAGTTTTAGTACGAAGATGCAACTATAAATATGTAATTTTCATAATAGATTTCTGAGGTTGTTTCGGCAAATACTAAACAGAACTCGGTAAACCAATATGTGTGGTCTTTTTTGCTTCGAATAATCAATTACAGTCGCTAAAGAACCTATAAACCATTCATATATTTTATGAGCGCGTTAAAAGTTGAATCGTAACTTTAATATCTCGAAGAATTATGACTTCATAAACAGAACAGAACACATCTCATCACTTATTATCACTTACAGCCATATTTAGTTAGTAGATAGGTACTTGACTTAATTGATTTGCAAGTTATGTAAATAAATACACTTACCTACATATATAAGTTAGTTCCACACAGCAAATACCATATTGCGTGAACGTAATTTAATTTTGCAAAAAAATATATTAGACGTGAGCTAACGTTGTTAGTGCATTCGCCCGGGTAACAAAAGGTTCGAGTCCGGCCAAACACCTAAATCATAATAGATAAAAATGTAAATGCTATTGAAAATGTGCTTAGTTAGGTTATATTTTTTTTGCCACCTAAAAAACACTTTGACAATATTAAAACTATTCCATAGCCAATTTAAAAAAAATATTCAATATTGTTACTCTAACTACATCAAATGTGACTTTTACTTTAATATTTGCTCAAAAGCGTGATGTAAAAGAAAATATGTTCTACGGTTAACATGGTAAGCATATATATAATTTGTATTATGACAGAATATACAATGTCCAATTTATTCAAAGAATGTCTTCAACATGCGCATAACCATTACTATAGGTATTCTATGTACTTAGTTTGTCTTGATCTATTAGACCATCAATCTCGTCAACAAAGGGATATGACGTAAAGCGATAACATATTTATGCTATAAAAATACGAGAAATTTTCCATTTCTCTACAATTGTATTGTGTTTGCAATAAATTAACCACCAGTTAATCGCTTCTTCCGGCGGATAGCATTCGGGATGTTACTGGCGTGGTATAAATAGTCCAACGAGGGGAACCGATCTGAACAAACACGTCCTGTGGCGCCGCCCGCCCCACAAATAACCTTAAATAACGTTACACAGAACGCTGGAATCGCATCTTCGAATTTCGTTTGAGATAAATATGTAATAGGGAAACTTCTTGAGCTTGCAACCATGGACAAAGCAGCTTACACAGCAACCGCTATACATACATAAACTTCGTCTGTGCAAATATATAGTTATATTTGTCTTTGCTTTGACTCGAGAAGTTGGCACCTACCAGGCCCAAGTATGAATTTTTGAATGCTCCGTGACGTATCGTATCATCAAAGTTTTTTATGAAACTAAGCAGTATCCCTAACACGAACCATTATCGAATTCGAATAGTTTGCAAAACGAAATGTCAATGTAAAATTTTGTATGGAAACTTGAACAGCAGCGGCACAAAGTACGTAACGAGAACTACTGTACCCTTAGCACGAACCAAAATCGAATTCGAATAGTTTGTGAGTGCGGAATGTCATTGTCAAATGTGTACTGATTTTTAGATTTGTACGTTACAGAGCTGTCGAAAATACGTGCTTTAGCCTCTGTGAATTAATCGGCAAGTTAGGTGCAGTTTACCTCATAATACGCGCCTCACACGTGGTATACATTTATGGTCGTCATCATAATTACAAGTAATTTTTTGTTCAAACATTTTTAATGAACTCTATAATAGTCTACGGCAGCTTATGTTTTTTATAATATTTAAATACAAGATTAGCATCGCCAATAACAACATTTTGTAGTATCTTTGCTTCACGTTGATAACTGTGTACACCTGTACAGACCCAACCGATACCATCCGATACCTATCGGTTGGGTCTTATTGTAATAATACAATAGTGATCTTATCGTTCACATAATATCAATAGCTTCCGAACACACAGATAAACTTTTATTGTCTGTGCAGGAAGCTTAAAGCTTACATATTTTACGATTTCCCAAAAAAACGGGAATACTAGTTCAACAAAAAAAAATTTAAACAGTATTAAATTCCTAGTGTTACCAGAAAGCCATTACGCTTTCCCCCCAAAACTTACACGAAATCCCCCCAAAATACAGGGTTTAAAGAAACAGCCCCCTAACGTGTAAAATATTTATTAAAAATAGAATATTTACTACATAATATGTATTTCGGCAATAGCATCCATTACTGGATTAACATCTTCGCCCTCCTTTCTAAATCTTGTTACATAACTTTGTTTTGATAATGCCATTATCTTACCAAGGTGCAAACAATTAAAAGAAATAGAAGGAATTACGATTTAGCAGAGCAAAGATAATAGATAGTGTCGAATCGATTTGCAGTTTAAGCTAACGACCATTAACGACTGACTAATTTGCTTGACTTGACTGAGCGATACGGAATGGTCTGAAGAGTACCTTTTTTAAGTGGGCTTTGGACTTAGGGGTCCGAATCGGGCTCTCTGAATGAACACAGTTCAGTGGGCCCGATTCTGGCATGATTCTCTAAGCCTAATAAACTAAAATTCGACAACAGTCTATCCTTGTCATGCTCTATACAGAATGAGAGAGAACTGTTGATTGACTGTTGATCGCAACTTTTTACAGATTAAAAGTTTATAAAGTGGTTTTATTTTTATGTAAAAAATGTAATTAAAAGAATAATATTATAAATGCTAAAGTGAGTTTGTTTTTTTATTTGTTACTTTTTCACGCCTAAACCACTGTACGGATTTAGATGAAATTTAATACGCATATAGTGTATGACCTGGATTGAGACACAGTATAGTATTTTACCCCGGAAAAGTATTAGGTTACCGAAAGATTTTTAAAAACTAAAGTTAACGCGGACGAAATCGCGGGCGGCCGCTAGTAATATTATTAATGTGAAAGTTTGTAAATTTATTACTAAATCATATTAAAACTACTGAACAGATTTGGATGAAATTTGACATAGGAAACTGTTTATCCTGCGGTCAGGTTCCCCTAGAATTTTTATAAAACTAAAATTAACGCGGGCGGCCGCTAAAAAAATACTTAATGGTTGAGAAAATTTTCAAGTTTGTTGCTATGCGTGAAGAGTTCATTACGTCTCCTATTTACATGACTGATACGGCACGGAAGCTTTGTTAGCACAAAAAGTTAAACATATTATATCCATACGAACGCATCGTGAAGGGCAAAGTCGTTATCGAGTTTTTACTAGCTTGTTGATTAAATAACCCGTTCAATACGCAACGTCTTATAATTCTATAGTACCAACTGTAAGTACTTACCTCAGGGCCAGGAGGGTATTTAAATACACAAATCTTAAAAGATATTAATGAAGTTCTTCGTGGCCGCTTCTTAGTGTTGCGTGGTAACAGGACGCTTGATTACAACAAAAAATAACACTATATTTCATCATCATCATCAGCCTATTAATGTCCCCACTGCTGGGGCACAGGCATTTTGTATGGATGGAATAAAGAGATTGGGTCATGACCCACCGCCCGGGCCCAGTGCGGATTGGCGGGTACTAACGACTGCTGATGCAGCCGGGACCCACGGCTTAATGTGCCTTCCGAAGCACGGAGGAACTCAATATAGAAGATTTTTGGTCACGCATCCAATGACCGACCACGGCGAAAATTTTTTAACTTCAACGATCGCAGCCTAACGCGCTAACCAGCCGCGCCATCGACCTAAAATATTTAAATCATATGACCACTGCACCCGAAAAGGTCTGAAAATTATCCTGATTTATTTTAGATTTACGAGGATCTAGTAGCGTGGTGATCTCTAAAAAAGATTTGACGAAGTCGAAAGTGCATTGTGATAAGAGCATCCACATTCTAAGTCAAAATAACGGCATCTTACAGATTACAAACCACGATAAATTGTTTTGTATGTATATTCCATGAGCGTGTTTATCAAAACTTCGATCACGATTAAATACTCTTTTGTACATTTTTTATATACATACTAGATAAGATAAATAGTTAAGATACATTAGCTACGTTACGCATAACATGTGAAATGAATACTTATACCGACACCGATTAATTCTTTTTTATGTTGTAGTTACAACATAAAGTGGCTTCCGTGATGTTTTGCAGTTGATCTTTTATTAATTATTTGATATATCCTTTATTACACAAAAATGGCTAAACGGATTTGGATTAATTTTATACATAGAGCTTATACCCTGAAAAGAGACATAGGATACTTTATATACCAGAAAAGTGTTAGATATCTGAGGGATTTTCAAAAAATCAAAGCTAACGTGGATGAACTCGAGGAAGGCTGCTAGTATAAACATAAATAGAGAATCCATTATATTTTCAATGCACAATGTTTCATTAACTCATCTGTACCCCGTCTATAGCATGTTTTTGTACTTACTGTATAAAATACAACCAAACAAATGTCTAGAAAAATATGTAAGTACTTAACAATATTTTTTTATCTTTACAGAAGGAGAATTGGAAGCAGAATGGCTGCAAGCGGCCGGTCTCGGGTCCCTCGCGGCCCCGTACCAGGCGGGCCAGGAGGTGACCGAGGCGCAGCTGGGTGAGGCTGTGCGCCCGCTGCCACGCGAACAGGCCGCGGCCGTCAGGCGCCGCGTCAGGAGGCTCAACCGCACCGTCAGGAGGAAGCGCGCCGCCTCCCGGGCGAAGAAACCGGACATCAGGGATGTCTTCAGAGACCTCGAGGTAGGCTCATGTTTCTACATCTATTTAAATCTCAAGCGGCCGGTCTCGGAACCTCGCGGCCCCATCTAGGCCGGCCTGGAGGTGACCGAGGCGGAACTGGGTGAGGAGGTGCGCCCCCTGCCCCGCGAGCAGGCTGCGGCAGGAGGCTTAACCGCACCGTCAGGAGAAAGCGCGCCGCCTCCCGGGCGAAGAAACCCGACATCAGGGATGTCTTCTGACACCTCCAGGTGGGCTCGTATTTGTACGTCTAATCAAATCGAGTGAATAGGTTTCTTCTAGCCAAGCGTGCTACATCGTAGGCCGCGTCATCGCTTAACATCAGTTCCCGTATGAGCATCTCAATTTACATTATATCACAGCTTTTATCGCGGCTAACTGTCAAACTCCATAGTAATTTGACAAAAGGGCGTGATATAAACGTGTTATATATCATATCGCGGTGCTCATGCTAGGGGGGCTGTTAGCGAACCCGTAGGTTTGAGGTCGTGGTAAATCTACCGCGGGCATTATGCTAAACGAGTATTAAAAATCAAACGAAGTACCTATATGCATGATTTTCATGTACCTAAAAGAAACCCCTTATAGTTTTAACTGTATTTTAATTAATATTATCTAAAATAATGAATTTTCTGTATATCACGCTTATATGAAAGAAAACTACCAATATCTATTCAAGCGATAGATAGGCCCCTGTGATTGTGACAGACAGACTGGCAGCAGAGGCATATCTCAACACATGCATACTGGTTCGTATGAAATATAGTAGAGTCAACAACAAAACATATAGCTATAATAAGCCAGCTGTCAGAATATGTTAAACATAACTGGAAATGATTGCTCGCCGACCGTGCTTGAACAAGTTGTAGCTCAACTTGATGGAGGCTTGTCAGACCTTGCGTCGCTCTCTCATCGTAAGTTAGAAATCATTATGAGCCGTAGTCAATCACAAATGATTACTTTAAATCTCAATTCATTGTGGTAAAGGTGAAATCTCTCTCACTCATGAGCCGTTTAGCCTGTCATGTGTTTTGGGTTTCCAACATGCAGATAAAGCGCAAATTAATATTCGCATTGCTTACATTATAAAATTATGTCTCACACCATTGTTTAATACTATGAAAATAAGTTAAGGGTCAACAAACTTTGTGATTATTTCCAGGTGAATTATCACGATTGCATACCAGATCTACTTATCTGGTAATTTAATTGGTAATTAGTCAATAGGTACGTCAATAACAGTAAAATAACTGTGAGGTTTAAATATATTCTGCATTATACTTAATGTTTTTGATTTTTGTTGTGTATGTGATCATTTCAATTTTATAACAACAAGCAAGAAAAATATATAAAAATATTTCGTTATCTCAAAACTCAAGCCAATATTCAATAAAAAAAGTTGTGATTTGTTCCATTACAATTAAGAAAACACTTCGTGAGTGTGGATACAGTAACAGCAAACTAGTTTCTCTCTCCGTGTCAAGTTTAAGTTCGATATTTTTTTATCATTTAATTTCTAACGCACCGTTAGTATTGTAACCGCTCCAACAGGTTTCTCGATGTATAGTTTCTAGACACGTAGCGGGCGGCGTATTAATTAGTACCTAGTTAAAGGAAGTTAGCTGCCATTGATGCTGATATTATGAATGCAGTGTTATACTTACCGATAGAGATCGTAAGAACCATGCAACTAACTTAATTGTTGTTTACAGTTTCAAATAATGAGATCTTACATTCAAATGTAAGGTTTGATGGTTGTTCCACTGCTGGGAATGGAACATTGTATTTGTTCCATTCTCAGCAGTGGAATGTGTGTAAGGCACTTAGTTTTGCCAAGAAATAATCGAAAACAATAATATTTCTATTTAAACAGGGACAGAATGGTTAGGTACCCTATTTTAAAAATTACCTTTTACATTCTTTCAGCTAGTCACAATAGGTCATTCAATTTTATCTCATATTAGATTAGACACAAGATTCTAAATTAAAACAAAATATGTAAACGCAATACAATTACGACTTAAAGTTTTGTATATTCTTCGACAGCGCAATTATTGTACTAAGTTGATTGGCTTGCGCGCCGTCAAGTCTGCGTTTTTCAATCAAAATAAAAACTTTTTTCTACTTTTCGTTTGTTTGATCCGATTAAATTATCTAGACAGTATATAGATATAGTGTCTATATCAGAGAGTAATACTTTGTAACACACTAATTCAATTTGTGTAATGTACTCTAGGTTTTAGAGTAACATTTAGCGTTTTTAACGAGGTCAGTATTATTGATATAGATATAATACCATGTTTCAAATTTTAACTCATAATTACAAACCTAATAAAAACTTACATTTAGCCATACCATTTAATTATTAAGCCATTATTTATTACAGCAATGATAAAATAACGAAATCGCCATACAACAAAATAGAGTTGCACCCATTAAAATATTTCAAAACAGGCCGGTTATTAATGAACAGTACTTGTGTAGTGACGGAACATGTATTAAGGGCACAGATAACTAGCATCGGTCGTCATTAGATAAATATGCAATTAACGTCCACAGACATTTGGGACTGAATAACCTTAGTTTTGAAATTTTGTCGACGAAAAGAGGTCGTATGACGCGAACTCCTTAAAAATTTCTTATGAAAAAAAAGATAAAACAAAATAATTCGGCGCGAGTTTGCTGGCAAATTTATAAAAAGAATATAAAAAAAAAAATAAGTACACCGCGAATAGGCAAAGAACCAACGGACGTTGAGTCGTGCATTAAAATTGCCTAGCGTCCGGTAAATTTCAAAACTGAATTGAGTGTTTTGTCGGCTCGTGCGGCGCGCAGTGCAGCATAGTAGATTAGTGTGTATTTAGTGTTGTGCTGTGTTGATGGGGTGCCCAAATACAGCCATCATGATATGCGACACCGTACGCTCCAAAGTGTGCGAAAAGATGAACAATTGCAAAGGGTTGGCGTTAGTGAAGACATACTTGGATGTCCTGGTAGGTTTCAATTGGTCTCAAACAACCGATGAGTTAAGATTTTTTTTCTTTGAATGTTGATGGAGTGTTAACTTATTATAAAATATCATGCATGACTGTCGTGTCTATCATTTTACGGGATTACATAAATTCTATAAAACCGAATTTCATTAATGAACTGAATTGAACACTTTTCTGCTATGTTCACGTAAACAGAAAGTAATAGTATTTGTTTCTTAGGTTTTCTCTCGCGGCTGAGCAGCGATACGTTCGTTCCTAGAATGATGCGCGAGGCTATTGAGATTAAAAAATATTCAAATTTTAAATAGGGAAGATAGTTGGTGTGTTCCACCGGCTTGGGAACCCATTATACAAGAGAAAAAATCCCAACCCTGAGCACACTGCAAGACCAACAGATACTATTAGTTCTTTTTGTTTGCATAATTTAACATAAGAAGGAGATAGAAAGACTCTCTGAGTTTGTTTCGCCGGTTCTTCTCAGAAAGGTCTCCCAATTTTGGAACCGGTGCGGTGGTAGTTTACGGTAGTTAGGGTCAAATAAATAAACTCAAAATTACAAAAAAGAATTTGAAATAAAGTACTTTATTAACTAAATTGACTAATAAATTCAGACATAGACAATAAAGTTTTAAAAATCTTCCAATGAAATAACCGAATGCTCAATAAGTCTTTCGAAAATAGCTCGACAAAGTAAATAAAAAAATCATTATTCTGACGATGCAGACCTGAAAAGGCTGCGAAACGTCAATAAATAAATAAAGTTCGTGCATTAACCCATTAAAACTAGTATTAGAAAATAATAGCCTTATAAATATTAAAAAGAGCCGTGAAAACCTAAGAAAACTAAGTCCATTTATAAATAAAAATGTGTAGTGTGTATTATAGAAAAAAATGCATACCAATCAGCATTATAACTAATAATAGTGTGCATAACTTTCATCCCTCATGAAGATTAGATGTAGCTAAACCATTAACATGACTTAGTTACAGTTTGTCATTTGTTGGCAGTAAAACTTTTTAATTATGTATCGTGAAAATATCAGAAATCTCTTAAATTCGAATATCCCAATGAATGTAGTTGATTGCATCGTTTCATTTTCTTACACTTCATGCTAAACTGAAAGCGAAAGTCTATCATATTTATTACCAGCGCCCGCTCGCGACTTCCTCCTCGTATTAACTTTAGTTTAATGAAAATCCCACAAACCTTAAAATAAAATAGAGTTTCTGAACGCAACATAAAGTGACATTTGGTTGACGATTTAGGTTATCAACCATCCATAGCCAAAGCTCAATAAATGAAAAAAAAAATCGAAAAATATTTATTATCAATATTTGTTATTGTTTGTTTAAAAATGATTGGTTTTTAATCTAGAATTAGCTGAGTGCTAAAAAAGTGTTCCGAGATTTTTTGCAAACCGTACTTTTCATGCGACATTTGACAGATGGAGGTCATTGGCTTTCCTATTCTTATTTGAATCGCATTATATGTCTCAATCCAAGTCATATCCTATGGCTACCAAATTTCATCCAAATCCGTTTAGGAGTTTTTGCGTGATTGAGTAACAAACATACATATTTTTAAATGTTTTAATTTTAACATACAAACTTTCACATTTATAATATTGGTATGATACTTGTTATGTCGAGTAGAATGCACCAGACTAATTTAACCGCTCAGATAGTTCTGTCAAGCTGTCAATGAACTGGGTAACTTGTGTACACAAAGGGCATTTTGGCGCGATTTCATCGTTCATGTATTTGTCATCGTTAGTAAAATTTATGAGGAGCTCGATGGCGCAAGTGATTAGCGCTTTCGGCTGCGATCGTTGAAATTAAGCAACTTTCGCAGTGGTCGGTCATTGGATTAGTAACCAAAAATTACTATCTCGAGCTCCTCCGTGCTTCTGAAGGCACATTAAGCCGTTGGTCCCGGCTGCATCTGCAGTCATTAGCACCCACCAATCCGCACTGGGCCCGCGTGGTGGGTCATGGCCCAATCTTCCTATT